TGTATTAATTTGAGTCCAATAAGGAATAAAGAATAATAGGGTTATTTTATTGTTGTTAGAAAGAAAAGAATAGAAAGAAAGAAGCAGTAGAAGAATAAGGATTGAGAGGAGAACGTGCAAACTGTTGGAAAAGTGGAAAAACGGCAGAACAAGAATTCAACTGGAAGATTATAGAGCGACCTTCAATCCAAGGTAAGGGTGGGGTTCCGACTTTATAATTGAGTTCACGATGTTTGATATGTGGGATTAGGTATATGAATTTTTCATGGATCAATTGTTGTTTCTAGTTGTGTTTGATTGTTGTGGGTTGCTATTGAAATTATTGAGGTTAATTGATTGTCGAAAAAAAATTGTTCTGGGTTAGTATAATTATTAAGTTTCTGTAAAATATATGTGGTATTGGTTGGAATTAAGAAGGAGATTGGTAATCGAGACTACGTGAAGGATAATAGAGAAAGTTAATTACTGGTACCCATGTATTATAATATAAAGTAGTTAGAATGTACCTAATGATTTTACTACCATATATTATTAATTTGCAGCTAGTGGATGCATATATGTGTACTAGCTTTAGTGATGTGATATCACATATATACATGTATAGGTAGTAAAAAGTAACTAAAATTCCAATATACCATACTGTGTTTTAACGTGCTGGGGAAATTAGGAAAGGAATATGCAAGGCACATGATGATGATAAAGAGTGCCCAGTGGCACACTGCAAGGAGAAGTGGTATGCCTATTTAATTAAATTGGGGATAGAGTTAGTCATACTGCTTTTAGTTAAGTTGATATCAGGCTAAGAATCAAAATAGTAGGATTAGTAAAAAGTAGAAGTTCTGATGGTAGAAGTTGTGTTGTCAGAAGTTGTGTTGTCAGAAGTTGTGTTGGTCAGAAGTTGTGTTGGTCAGGAGTTGTGTTGTTAGAAGTTGTGTTGTCAGAAGTTATGTTGGTCAAAAGTTGTGTTCGTCAGAAGTTGTGTTGTCAGAAGTTGTGTTATCAGAAGTTGTGTTCGTCAGAAGTTGTGTTGGTTAGAAGCTGTGTTGTCAGAAGTTGTGTTGGTCAGAAGTTATGTTGGTCGTTACGTTGATTTTGTACAGAATAATGAAGATGGGATTCCTAGAGGATGCTGTTTGAATTATAACAGTAGGATTAGTGACAATAATGATGTAAGGATTACAGAATAGCAGTATGAACTACTGTGGTATTAATGTACAACTGAGTTGTTAGTGAGAAGTTATTAATGATGTTGTATTGATGATTTATAATAAATAAATGATGTTTGATGAATTATTATGATGATATGAGATGTTGATGAAGATACGTTGAGATGCTTTTGAGATGTTGTTAATTTGAGATGTTGTTAACTTGGGTGTTGTTATTACATTCATGGTTGTGTCACATACATTGCACTTTTGAGATGAAGCTTATGCTCGTTGAGATGGCCTGTATTGGCGAATTTTGAGATGAAGACTTATGTCTTGTTGATGCCTCTATTAATTGGAAATTTTTTGAGATGGAAGTTCTGCTCCATTGGTACCACATGCATTTGTATAGTATTGAGTCGCATTATATGATTGCATAAAGAAGTATGTATTGATGTTGTGATTGTGTATTATTGTTGTGATTATTGTTGATTATCAGATGAGAAGTGGTGATGTTATGTGATCTAATTTAATCTATTAATTATCCCGCGCTTTATTATATTGTTAGATATCTCACCCCTTCTGTTTGAATGTTGTCCTTATGTTGGTAACGTGCAGGTAATCGAGAGTGAAGGCTGTATACCTTTGATAATTCGAGTCGGTGTCATTGCTCTAATATGTAACACTCGGGGGAATGAACACTTGCTCTTTTTGATTGTTGATTATTATTAAATTGTGTTGTTTTGAAGTTGCTGTATTGATGATAAAATTGTTATTGAGAATTCCGCTGCGTAGATGTTGAGTTACTTAATTAAAGATGTTATGATGGTTCATCCGATGTTTTGAAAGTGTTATATATCCACGATGAATGCAATGAATTTTTGATAGAAGAATTTGTGACGTCCCGATTCATTTGTATGATTGAATTTTATAACTCTGATTTATTTATATAATTTGCCGGAGTAGAATTGGGGTGTTACATTTGGAAGATGTACCTCTTTCCAACCTTCAAAATTTCCATATCAATTCAAACATATTATCAAGTACTATTCATTATAACTTTTTGAAATTTTTCACACCATCCAAAGTTTTTATACATTATTTTGAACACTTGAATTGTCATAGTTTGAATTTTTCCGTATTGAAAGAGAAGATCCAAAGATAAAGTCTTGGATTTAAAATAAGACTATCTCTTCAAATTGTTCAAGAGTTTTCTTGTGACTTAATCATCAAATTGTGTTGTGGTAAGTTGTGTGTATTAAGAGAGAATGGTGTATTTCTCAAAATTGTTTGTTAAAGAAAGTGGCGAGCTTTCTTGAGTGTGTTAGAATATTGTGAGAAAAGTCTGGTGTGAGGCTAGTACAAATATCTAACAAAGGGAAAAAATCTTCATGGAATGTGAAGGGAATGAATGTGCCGTTAAGTTTAATGGGAACTAATATAATTCTTGTGTCTTATTAACATTCTTGCACTTTATTTCTATGAATTTTTATTCTAAGTTCTTCATTGTAATTCCAAAAAAATAAAAAGAAAAGAATCACTGCTTAAGAATGAAAAAAATTCTTAAAATCTAATTCACTCGCCCTCTTAGGTTGAACTCTATAGTTAAAGTTGTAGGGATATCTTGCATGATCCTCCCTTATTTATACATTAGAATGCTATGCCTTGCCTAATCTTGATCAATTGCGTTTTCCCCCCCTTCTTTTGAGTGATAATGATGTAAGAAAAGAGTTGGATTTTGGGGTTGATTGTAAGTTTTAAGACAAAGAAGGAGAAGTTTGGGATTTCTATAACTAGTCATAGATGGCCCAGTTTTTCCTCTTTCTCACACCTCTTAAACCCTAAACCTCTCTAATAATCTTTCCTACTTGCATTAAATTATGTATAAAGAGAAAAACCTCTAGAAAATGACGTTAGAGAAAATTTTATCTAGTTTAATTAAGATAAAAGTCTAATAAATAAGTATAACATGTTTATGAATTACGATACAAGGATGGTTAAGAGAATCAAGTCTTAACCTTAATTATGTTACATTTTAATGTTAAATGTAAATTTTACAATGAAACACTAATATTTCAAAAACACTTTTAAATCATATCCGATACGTACTGATACGCTCCGATTCGACGTCAATACGAAGGAATATTCGAAATTATTTATTTAAAAAAATAAAAAAATAAATTCTAATACGACGACATACTCCTCAAATACGTAACTTTTCATTTTTTTTAATCAAATTTTCATTTTAATAACTCTTTATTCCCTTTTTAAATGACCTTCATTTTCTGTCATTCTCTTTAATGTTCTGATTAATTTTTTTATAGATAATTATCATTTTTCAAAATTGGTTTAATTTCCCAAACTTATCAATACTACAATTTATAATTTCAATCATATTAATTACTACTTATTAGTATTATTTATAATAGTATTATTTATAATAAAATGTTTTTATTGCAACTATACTTTTTTTTGTGTAGAGTTTTCTTCATCTTCTCCGACCTTATGAACTAGATTTGGAAGCCGTTATATTTTACAACAACCTACTAATGTTAAAATTGTATTACGAATTTGGTTTTGTTAAACTATGATTTAACAAAATATTCAATTATAATATATATATATATATTAAACGTATCATATCTATTATTTTTTAACTAGTGATATATCACCGTATCGAATACCTATCGTATCTGACATTCGTATCATGTTCATGTTTCATAGAAGTAGTATATGAGATAGTATCTAATAAGAAAATAATTAACAATGATTAGAAATGGCATGACCTTGGATTCGAATGACCCATGATTAGACACATGTCTCACTCTACTAGTAGAATTAGATATTCTATTATACTAGATTTGATTTGCGAGATTTTAACAGGAGGTGAACTATCCGATGATAATATACCCGACCTTAAGAGTACAAGTAGGATGTTAACAAGCCTATGATGTTAGACACGATTTGAGTCATACAAAGATGTAAGGGGCATTATGTTAATATCTCAGATATGGATGAAAAAATGGGTCATGACCTTTTCGATTGGTTTGTGAATTCGACAAAAAATAACGGGTTATATTGAGATTTTGAGGCTGAAGACATAATGGATAAAAAAAGTGATGCACTAACTATGTAATTTAATTTTACATTATCAACCGATCACAATTTTATATCATAATAAATCACACTTCATTTTTAAAATTCTTCTAATGAAAAGACACATTGTTTACTTTCTACTAGATGATCGTATAAAATAATTTTACACGAAATGCATGTAAATTAAACCCTTTAAATAGTAGAAGTAGTGATGTTTTTACTGATGCTGTTACCGATGCCAAGAAATTGATGTTATTACCGATAAGTCGATAAATTGTTCTGCTGCATTTACATAAGTGTTTTGTATAGAAGCATAAGTTGCTTAAGTTTTGTGTAGATTGTTGAACCTGTTCCTTTCTGTGGCATTTACAACAGTTTCCAGGTTTCTTTCTGCTGCATTTATCATTATGTGAATTAAGAGATAATTTACTAGCTAACGTAACTTTATTAACATATTTGAGTATATTTACTAGCTAGATATATAGAGATCAATAACACAACACAACTTGTTTACTAAACTAACTTCCTTCCTGACATCATTTGCAATCTTGATATTCATTGCTCTTAACAATTTCTGGTAGCAGACGGAAAACATTATTACATGAGAGATCACGTCACCACACCACCGCAGAGATAAGAAGCGTTTTAAGAGGTAAACATTTTTAAAATGAAAAAAAAAAACTTTTAACAGTTATGCCATTAGATTTTCAAATATCTATATGTTGTAAGCCAAGCACACTATACTAAATTCTAATTGAATTACCAATGCATTTTAACATAACTTATGCTATTTCTTGTGGCCATTATTTCCTCAAGTGGAACCCGTTTGTTGAGCTCAGATCTTTGCTTTGGTGCGCTGCGAGACCTTACCACTCTTGCCTTGGATGAATGAGTATTAGCCATGTAGTTAGGACAATTAGAGTAACGCAAGAACAAGCCGGACTCTTCAGAAACATTCTTCGCCAACGGAGTATTCGCTTGGGAAGAGTTTGATAATCGAGAAGTGCTATCAGCCGTGAAGAATTTATGTTCATCGCTGACATTATTGCAGCACGAATCAAAATCATGAGAATGTTGGCATTCGTGAACTGAAACTTTACGCGAAAGATGACTAAGAAGAGATGATGATGCTGTTTCATAGTAATGATGATGCGTATCGTCTCTATATTCAGACATTGAAGATCTTGAACTAGACCTGTGAGGATCAATCGCGACAACCTCCCGGTTTGGATCAAATCTACTTGAGGTAGAATTGGGAAGCCATTTATCACTCAATTGCTACAAGAGAAAAATAACAAAGTAAGTAAAGACTAAAGTTTTGATGAAAGATATTTGAATTAGAATGAAGGAAACAAGAATCAATTACTTACCACATGTTTTCGACCACGGATATGCTGCGTTGGGTGCGCATTCTCCTTATCAAAGGATCTACGGGCTCGTCTAGACCGGACAACAGCTTGAGCTCTCATAAGAGCTTGAATACTGTGAAGTGTTGCAACAACCCTTTTCCTAACTAGGAATCCTCTAACAAGAGCTTGTATCTTAACCAATCCTCTTAGTGCTCGATGAGCTTTTCGCGCCTAAATCCAACAAATGACACAAAATTTGAATTGAAATAAATGCAAACAGACAATTCACACATGATTAAAAAAACAGACAAAGCACATATGATGAAAACAATGAATTCAGCAAATGACATTGACACATGATAAAAAAAAACATCCTTAAAAGTTGGTCACATTCACATACCAAATAGCCTCTGAATATGGATTGAATCATGACAGCAGCCATCCCCTCCCGGCTACCAAAAAACAATGATCCTCTACTACTGCCATGGCTTAATGATCTTAAAAGAATTGCTTTTTTGTTGTAATCATTCTGTTTTTCAGCAACATAGGTTTTGTACCAAGAATCATTATCAAAGCCTTGAACACTTGTTTGATTAATGTGACTCTGATGATTTTTGTTCTTCTCTTTCTTGTCTAGGAACAATGGACCTGATTTGTTCCTGTGTTTTTTCTCCTTCTTGTCCAGAAACAATGGCCCTGATCTGTTACTTTGTTCTTTCTCCTTCTTCATTCCAAACAAACCCTTCAACCATCTAGTAGTTTTACCCATAATAACACTTTTTGGTGTTACAAATTCACAATCTGAGTAGTGAGAAACAAGTTCAAAGTTAAACTCAATGCAATATAATATATAGATATTTGTCACATTTTTTATATATAAAAAAGCATGAACAAAGTGGAATTTAGTACAAGAATTTTTTGACACCAACATTTGTGATTCAATCATTGTCGATGTTATGCCGGGATGTTCATACTTTATAGATATTTATAAATTCTAACTCAATTGATCGAAACCGATATTATTAAATTGAATTTTATCATTAGAGTTGATCCCTAATATTCAAAATTTTGTGTGTGTTTCTGTAGAAAATATAATACTAATATTATAGAATAAATTAAATATTAAGGTACAAAATTCTGATGAACATATGAGACAAAAGTTACATATGAAAACAAAATTGAAATTGTTTATTAAAAAAAACAAAATTGAAATTGAAAAAGTAGTAATAATCATAAGGAAAAGCCTGAGATCTACGTAAATTCAAAACAATAGAAAAACAACAAACTACAATAATAATCACAACTACCCTACAAAAAACACAATCAATTCCTAGTTTCCCAAGCTAAAAATTTCACTATTTCTATTCAATCATAAGAAAATAAAAAATAACCTCTTTGTTGCGTTTGTGTGAAAGTTCAGAGATATTTGAGCAGTGATTGCAGGAAATTTTCTGATGACAATGACAGTTTCTGTAATAAAGATGATTCAGTTGTTCTGAAACAACATTTGATGAAAATGACCTTTCCTAATAGGGTTAGAAAGAACAGATCGATGGAATTTTGATGGCAAAAAAAAAAAAAAGCAATTTCCAATGATTTTAATTGACTCCTTGGGGTACTAAAAGGTTTATAATAACTCGTGATTTTTTGGTTATTAATCTTGTTATTTTGAATATGATTTGTTTGTTTTATTTTGAAACTAACCGAGTAGTAATTGACGCATTTTTTTTAGGTTCATAATGGAATTTGTAACTGATGCATGCACAAAGATAGGAACCGATTAGAGTGTTATTGAAAGGATATCAACGAATTTGAAAATCATTAAAGATATGAGCGTGGAAAAAGTAAATAAAGTGAGTCGGCTATTTGAAAAATAATGATAAGGTGAGGGAGTTTATTTATGCTTTAGTAAAAAATAAAAGAATTTATATACTGTTTGTTGAGATTTTTAGATATAATAAAGATGAATTTTATATATATATATATATATATATATATATATATATATATATATATATATATATATATATATATATATATATATATATATATATATATATATATATATATATATATATATATATATATATATATATATATATATATATATATATATATATATATATATATATATATATATATATATATATATATATATATATATATATATATATATATATATATATAATCGTATCTGACCAGAATGGAACGTCACAGTTTTTTTCGAGCAGAACTTAAGAGTGAGGTGTGGGGGGAGGGGAGAGTACCTGCAAGAAATTCTGATGTCAAAGTGAGATTTGGAATGAGCTAGTAAGTAAGAGTGAGTAAGAGATGTTAAATATCTGACCCTCTCGGAAGAGAGGGTATTTATAGCCACACGATGGGCCAAGGTCTCCATTGTTGGGCCACGTTGAGGCCCAATAATGGAGACTGTCAAGGCTTACGTGTGTATGGAGTCCAACAAGTGGACTCCCTCTGGCCAACTGCTCAGTGAGAATAGGGGTTGGACCCGTGATTTCTGGAGGGTAGTTAAGATGATTGTGATGTGGGGACGCGGGCCACGTTCCTCAACGGTTCCTAATTTGGACTGCTTGCTTTTGGGCCTTATACAAGGGTGTTGGATTGAGCCTCCCAGTCGTTGGACAAGTGCAGACCCAGTCCAGATCAAGAGCCCCCCAAATTATTGCCCTTAGGTGAAAGGGTGATGACTTAGATTCAGCTGTTATAGTCAGAGAGGATTTGATCGGGAAGGATGGTCGAAGTCCTCTGAAAGGAAGCGAGTTGTTGCCCGCGTAGGGGACAACCTGTTTGAGTGTGTCGGGGATCTTGTGGACAAACGAGCAGTGTGACCGACGTGGTCAGTTGTTTGCCCGAGAGGACTGTATAAGTTACGGGGAGCTTCTACGAGTTCTCTTTAGACGTGTCCGTCTTCAAGGGATTGTCACGATGTCAAGCGTTGTTTCGCCCTCGAGGTAGATCGTGATTAATGTGCCCGTATACATGCCGCAACCATGGCGTCGAGCATTTCTTCGTGTGAGGTGTCTGTCTCGTGCTCGCGTGGAGATTACGTGTTGAAGTCGGAGATATGTTCGTATATCGAGAATGGACACATGGTTGATTGTAGGGCCACATGGCTGTTGCTTTGGGGTGCCATGCAACACCCTATTTCTACCCAACGAGTTAAATAAAATCAGAGTTATAAAAATCTTCAACAAACAAATAGAATGCTACACTTTCAACTTAAAACTACGATATTCAATTATCTATAGTTCAGATACATAACACATAAAATCCGGATGAACCGATAATAACCTGTTCAGTCTTTAAAAATAAAATAACTTTCATTACCACGCAGCAGATTCACAAAATTCAACTGAAAACACCATAACATCTTGTCCAAACCAAAACAACATTAAGACAACAAGTCTTTAATGAAAACAACTTAAAAATTCAGTAACATAATGAAAATCAACAATAAGGAAAATATGTGTTCATCTCCCAGTGCTACGTATCAGAGCGACAACACCGACTCGAACTAACGAGGGTAACAACTAACCTTCTTGATTACATACACATTACCAACAGAGGACAACATTCAAACAAAAAGAATTTATTTATTTCTTAGTAAAAAATAAAAGAATTTATATACTATTTGTTGAATTTTTAGAAACTAATATAACAAACCTTTTATTGCATAAAAAATATATAATAAAGATGAATGATATCATGACATTAAAATTTATCCGTTTATTATTATTAATTTAAAGGTTAAAATATATATTTTTATTCCATTTTGAATATCGTTTTAGAAAAAAAAAATGTTTCCATTTAAATGTCGTTTTATAGTTTAATATTATAATTTGTCAATTATACTTTTAATTTTTCAGTAACTCCATTTTTATTATTTTTCATAAAATTAATTATTTTATCATTTAATTATTGAAAAAAAAAATTGTATGAACGAATTTATTTGAAAATAAAAAATAAATGAAAAAATAAATTAAAAAAAAACTCTAATTTTTTACTATATTGATTGAAAAATTTTATATTAAAATAACACTTAAAAAGAATTTGACACGTGAACTTTTTAAGAAATTTATCTTAACTTTTAAATTAATAATAAAAGGATTTAACACCAGTGCTAAATGATACTCTTTAAATTAATAATAATAAACGGTATAATTTAATGTCATGATATATATTTTATATATATATATATATATATATATATATATATATATATATATATAATATATATATATATATATATAATATATATATATATATATATATATATATATATATATATATATATATATATATATATATATATATATATATATATATATATATATATATATATATATATATATATATATATATATATATATATATATAAATATATATATATATATATATATATATATATATATATATATATATATATATATATATATATATATATATATATATATATATATATATATATATATATATATATATATAATATAAATATATATATATATATAGTATATAATATTATAATATATATATCAGATCAAATACTATTAACAATTAAAATATGAGGTTTTTGACATTTATGCCATAAATTTGAAAATATTTCTAAAAT